CGGAGACCAACCCGGCTGCTCCAGGACACAACCACGAAACGCTTCCCCTCCTGGGGCACGTCTCCGGGGCCCCCCTGCGCGGCTGCTGCACTCCCCCAAAGGCTCATGGGAATTAGGGTTTCTCCCATAAAAGGGGGCAGGCTGATGGGACCCACCTGGTCTCTGGGGGACGGGATGGCTTCCTCCTCCTCCTCCTCCTCCTCCCCTTCGCTGCACAGGACCCGGGCCATCTTCCTCCCTGACCTCTTCACTGGAGAGTCGCTCTCGGGCACCGCCCTGTTCCGCTCCTTCAGCGCCACCCTGGAAGGGGGGAAATGGGGGCGTTCTAGCTGGCAGAGAGGGTCAGACACTCCAGCTCCCTCACCCTGTCTGCTTTTTCTCCTTTCAACCATCAATGAGCACTTCCTAGGGGCCTCCTAAGTATATACTGTTTTCTAATTATTACTGGTTTTAGAGAGAGAGGAAGGGGGAGAGAAACATCATCTTGTTGCTCCACTTATTTATGCATTCATTGGTTGCTTCTGGCATGTGCCCTGATCAGGGATCAAACCAGCAACCCTGATGTATTGGGATGACGCTCTACCCAACTGAGCCACCCAGCCGAGCCTAAGCACAGACTCTGAATTATCCATCTGTCCATGATGAATCTCGGGAGGCCTCCTGTGTGCCCACTGTGTGATGGGTGAAGCTGAGAGCAAAAAGCATGCTTTCTGGTGTGCGGCAGAATTTCAGTCATGAGTTTATGTGTACCAGGACATGAAAAAGGTTGAAAATCGCCAGGACCGGTTTGGCTCAATGGATAGAGCGTCGGCTTGGGGACTGAAAGGTCCCGGGTTCGATTCCGGTCAAGGGCATGTACCTTGGTTGCGGGCATATCCCCAGTAGGGGGTGTGCAAGAGGCAGCTGATCGATGACTCTCTCTCATCGATGTTTCTAACTATCTCTCTCCCTTCCTCTCTGTACAAAATCAATAAAACATATTTTTAAAAAAAAAGAAAAAGGTTGAAAATCACTGAATCTGACCAGCTGGCATCAAATTCAGCTTCTCCGCCTCTTAGAAAGTCTGCTCGAGAGCCGGTGTTTCAGACCTCACGAACCAACAGTGGTCCGCAGTGGCAGCCGCTGCTCCAACCGGTGGCCCATGAGGTCCGAAAGGTTGGTGACCGCTGCTCTGGAGACATGAAGCAGAGCCCTGAAGACAACTCCGAGGCCCTGGATCCAGCTGTGCCTGAAGCTGGACATCCCCTCTGGACGTCAGTGACGGAAGTCAAAAATTCCCTTCGGAGAGAGTCTGAGCTGAGTTTCTAACACTTGCGGCCAAGAGTCCCGACTGACAAAGGAACAACTTCGCCACATCCCAGACCCGTTACGTGCTTCGGAGGGGCCTCGGTCTCCCTGATGCCGCTGGGTGTCTCCTCCGGCTTCTTTGCCTTGCCCTCTTTCTTGGGGTGGAAAAATGACCTGGAGGAGCGAGCACAGGAGGGGCGAGAAAGAAATGAAAACAGCAAGAAAAGAAATGAAATGGAAACAGCAATAATTCCTCTGATCCGCAATGTCCTCTACAGCTTCTGACGCCAGTTCCCATCTACCGGGTATCAGATTTCAAACAACCCTCTTTGGTAAGGAAACGAAGCCCTGATGAGGAGGCAACACTCTGCTTATTTTCCTGCCCTCACTCAACCTGAGAGGCATGCCACATCCCCATTTTTCAGTGACGTGTATTAACTAAGCACGTAGTGTAAGCGAAGGACAGATTAGCCCCGGATTTCTCATCACATGAGAAAAATGCAGCCTGGGTCCGCATGAGGCACCGTGTCCCAGGTCTGCGTGGTGGTGTCCAGGTCTGGGTCTGATTCCCAAGGGCAAAGCTTTGGCACCTGGATCCAACTATTAACTCCAGAAGGTTCCAACGACACAGCCAAGTAATCTCCAATCCCCTTCCCCCTTTCCCTGAGCCCTGCCTCAGTACATGGCTTTTCAACCTGAGCATGCCTGCAGGGCAGGCCAGACCATTTCCTGTTGCATCGAGGATACTTAGCAGCAAGCCTAGCCTTTACCCCCTCTTGCCCCGCTGTGGCAACCTCAAATACTGCCACTGAGAACCACTGGGTTAGGCCAGCGGTCGGCAAACCGTGGCTCGTGAGCCACATACGGCTCTTTGGCCCCTTGAGTGTGGCTCTTCCACAAAATACCACGGCCTGGGCGAGTCTATTTTGAAAAAGTGGCGTTAGAAGAGGTTTAACTTTAAAAAATGTGGCTCTCCAAAGAAACTTCAGTCGTTGTACTGTTGATATTTGGCTGACTAATGAGTTTGCCGACCACTGGGTTAAGCTTTCCGAACCCTGCACCTAAAATGTTTTAGTTAACTCACGCCCGGTTTTCCAGGGCCCACTCCCCGTTTTCCAATACTGATCAACTTCTGGAAAATGCCAACCTGAGTTTTTCTAAGAAAAGGCAGCGAGTTACAGAGACAAGCAGAGACGCGAAGAGTTTAAGACGAGAAGGGGGACGAGGGTTTCTTACATGATACTTCGCTGCATGATGGCGGCAAAAGTGTCCCTTCCCCACTCCTCCTCTTCTCCTGTCTGCTGTTCTGGAACAGAAATCCAAATACTCGGTGAGAAGACTGCTTGTGCAGATACAAAAACTCACAAACCTCCCTTTTTTAAAAGATATTTTCATTAATTTCAGAAAGAAGGGGAAAGAGAGATAGGAACATCAATGATGAGAATAATTGATCAGCTGCTTCCTGCACAACCGACCCCTCCCCCCCATCAAGCTCCCAACCCAAGCTTGTGCCCTCCACTGCACTCGAACCTGGGACCCTTCAGTCCACAGGCCAATGCTCTATCCACTGAGCCAAACCGACTAGGGCCATAAACCTCCTTCTTGCAGAAAGAAAAAAAATATCCACAAAGTCAGAAACATGCATTTCCCCCTTGAGATGAAACTCCCTTTTTTCAGACCAGAATAAATTTTTTAATATATTTTTTTCTATTTTTTTACAGATAGGAAGGGAAAATGATAGAGTTAGAAACATCGATGAGAGAGAAACATGCATCAGCTGCCTCCTGCACACTCCCCACTGGGGATGTGCCCACAACTAAGGTACATGCCCTTGACCGGAATCAAACCTGGGACCCTTCAGTCCGCTGGCAGACGCTCTATCCACTGAACCAAACCAGTCAGGGCTGGACCAAGATAATTTGTCATTGAGATTTGCCAGTCATAGCTTTCATACACTTGCAGCTGCTGACCCTTCTCCATGTGTAGCTATGAGTCGCCTCACCCAGCGGTGGCCCCTGCTTCCTAGAAATACTTCCATACCTAGATGTCCTCCCCAATGAGTTAGTACTCATTCCTCACAGGCGTGTACCCCGTTCACTGTACCACCCCCCTTCACTTAGGCCCCACCCCTTCCCAGAGGGAGGCCTCCAAAGCCCGCCCCTTGGCCCCTCCCCCTCACAGGTAACCGAGGCCAGGCCACGCCCTATCCAGGAGGTTCCGACCTTCCACAAGGCCTTGGCCTGACCAGTGGTCGGCAAACTCATTAGTCAGCAGAGCCAAATATCAACAGTACAAAACGACTGAAATTTCTTTTGAGAGCCAGATTTTTTTAACTTAAATAATATAGGCAGGTACATTGTTATTAACTTAATTAGGGTACTGCTAAGCTGGCCTTTGCTAAAAACATGGTATTTTGCCCTGACCAGTTTGGCTCAGTGGGTAGCGTCGGCCTGTGGACTGAAGGGTCCCGGGTTCGATTCCGGTCAAGGGCATGTACCTTGGTTGCGGGCACATCCCCAGTAGGGGGTGTGCAGGAGGCAGCTGATGGATGTTTCTCGCTCTCTATCCCTCTCCCTTCCTCTCTGTAAAAAATCAATAAAAATAAAAAAAAATAAAATAAAAAAAATATATATATATATATATATATTTTTTTTTTTTTAAATCAGGGGGCCAAAGAGCTGCATGTGGCTCCCGAGCCGCGGTTTGCCGACCACTGGCCTCTCCATGGCCCACCCCTCTAAAGATGACCTCGCCCCCAACTTTTCCCTTTTCCCTCAGGTGGCCCCGCCCTCAGGGGCCCCGCCCCCAGGTGACCCCGCCCTTCGTGGGGCCCCGCCCCCGGGGGGCCCCTCCAATGTTCCGTGCCCCAGTCCATTTAAGCCATTTCCTGACTGTGCCCCCACCCAGGGGTCCGGTCCCTCCAAACCTCACGCAAAACCCTCTTCGTCCAACTAGCTCCAGCCGCGCGTCTACCTCCCACCCGGCCCACCGGCCTCCGCCCTCCGGCGGCCGCGCCGCCGGCGCTCTCCCCTCCTCACCGCGCCCCCGGCCGCCAAAGCCGGCAATTCCCCGCGAAGCCGCGAGCCCCGGGCGCCCCTCAGCCCCCGCGGGCCGCCCCACTCGCCTCGCGCTGGCCCCGCGCGCCGCAGCCCCGGGCGCCTCACCGGGAACCCCGGGTCCTCGACTGCGCTCCCAAATTCGCGCCACGGAATTCGCGCGCAGACCTCGGCGGCCGGGGGTGGGGCCGGGCTGGGAGGCGGGGCCCGGGCGACGTCCGCGTCGCCGCCGCCGCCGCCCGGTGGATGCCGGGAGTTGTAGTCTCCGGGGCGGGAAGCTGCTAGGGGAGGGGTGAAGACGGGGCGAGCCCTCCCGCAGAGCACGCTGGGAGCAGGCCCGCGCCTTTCCTCGGTCTGGACCCGCGGATGTGCCTGCGGGCCCCCGGAGTAACCGACGGGGAAAGAGGGAGACTTGGAAGAAGCCCGCTGCGCGAGGCACGGCGGGAAGAGAGGCCGGAGGCCGCGCGGGGCATCCCGGGAGCAAGGGCCTTGGCGCGGGGCATTGTGGGACGCCGCTCCGGGGCGGGTAGGTGAGTGGGGAGGGGCGGGAAGAAGGGTGCACATCTGGGGGAGGGAGGAGGTACCGCTGGGTGCGGCGGGCGGGGCTGGGAGGGGCCGGGCAAGCGGGCGGGCGGGGAGGGGCTGCAGGGGCGGGGGTCGCGCAGCCGGACGCTGGAGCATCTGAGTGATGGAGCGTGTCTGAGGACCAGGGGCCCTGTCTCGGACCACAACGCACCCCTGGAGGGTGATCCCTGTAGAGGAAAGGAGGGGGGCCCAGGGGGACGAGGGGAGTGCGACCGAGCAGGAAGGGGACGCAGACGAGTAGTAGTGACACTTCTGAGAACTGGCCCCGAGTGAGCGGGGTGCACGCCTGCGAGGACTGAGTCCCTGCCGTCTGTGGGGAGGACACCCAGACATGGAAGTATTTCTAGGAAACGGGGGCCACCCCTGGGGGAGGCGACTCACAGGAGCTACGCCTGGGGAAGGGCTAGCAGCTGCAGGTGCATGAAGACTGTGCCTGGGGGTGAGGGGTACCCGGCGGGATGTGGGGGCACATCTGGGGATGGAGCATCTTTGAGGGGTGTGTCACCGCTGTGCAGCCCAGTGCAGACACGCGGAGGGGAGAGGTCCTTACGCATGGGGGCTCCAGAGGTCACTGCCACCTGCGGGAGACACATCTGGAGGCGGGGAGGAGGTCTTCGCTGCAAGTTGGGAACCTATTTGAGGAAGTCTCCAGGAGTCATGTTTTGGGAGAGGGACCCCCACTGTACCGAGGGGTCACGTCCACGGAGGAGGGAACCAGAGCTGGCGTGAGGGGCCAGGATGGCAGGCTCCCGCCGTCCATCCGTGGGTAATGCAGGAGGTGGGAGAAGGCCGAGGATGGGGTGGAGGTTTGTTTCTAGAGATGAATGGGGTTGTACCCCCGGGGGGGGGGGGGGGGACCACAGAGGCCCCGGTGGCCAAGAGGCAGGTCTAACGTGGAGGGAGCGGGATGCTCCGGTGGGCGGGGTCTGCCGTCTCAGGCACCTGCCCCCTCTCCGCCCCCTTTGGCGCAGGTGCCCAGGATGGAGCCCCCGCGGGGCACGGCGGTGGGGCAGCAGGAGCAGGAGGAGCAGGAGCTGCTGGCACGGGCCTTCTTCTCCTGGGCCGAGTTCAGCCGTTTCTTCGATGCGTGGTGCCAGCAGCGGCGGGCGCTGTTCTTCGTCCAGAGCTCCATGCACCTGACGCGCTGCCACTGGGCCCGGCTGCCCCCGCTGCACACGCTCATCGACGAGCTCAAGTACAGCTACGTGCGGCTGGTGTGCAAGGACGTGCGTGCCCCCAGCCGGCCCGCCATGGGGTAAGTGAGCTCAGCCACCCCCCTGCTGCACGCTGGAGGGGCAAGGGGAGCTGGGGGGAGGAGGGGTAAGCACAGAGCCCCACACCCGGGATTGGAAGAGGGAGATGCCAAGTGAAACAGCTAAGTGTACCTTGTAAGAGAGGCTGAGAGGGTCAAGGAGGGAAGCTTAGCTGAAACCGGTGTGGCTCAGTGGGTAGAGCATCAGCCTGAGGACTGAAAGGTCCCGGTTCGATTCTGGTCAAGGGTATGTACCTTGGTTGCAGGCACATCCCCAGTGGGGGGTGTGCAAGAGGCAGCCGATCGATGTTTCTCTCTCATCAATATTTCTAACTCTCTATCCCTCTCTTCTCCTCTCTGTAAAAATAATAATATAATAATAATAAAAGAATAATAAAAAGGAGAGGAGGGAAGAAGAGGGCAGTGGGGATGTGCCCGAGGGTGACCGGGTGGCTCCTCTGCAGGCACCACGAGGCGGGCTGCCCCGCCTTCATCATCGTCAAGCTGAGCCCGCTGCGGGACCGCCTGGTGGTGACCGAGTGCCAGCTGACCCACTCACATCCGGCCTGCCCCATCGAGTTCGCCTACTACTTCCGCCCCGGCCGCCTGCTGGCCAACACCTGCCTGCCGGTGCGCACCACCAACAAGATCTCCAAGCAGTTCCTGGTGCTGGCCGACGTGCACCGCCTGCTCTCCTACTGCAAGGACCGCGACCACAGCGTCATCGACGCCCTGTGCGTGCTGCAGGGACTCTTCCACAGGGACCCTGAGGCCAAGGTGGGTCCCGGGAGAGGCTGGCGGGTCATTCCTTCATCCATTCATTCCTTCTCCCTCCCACTCATCCATTCACTCCCTCATCCATTCCTTCTCCCTCCCACTCATCCATTCACCTCCCTCATCCATGTCCTTCTCCCCTCGCACTCAGCCAGTCACTCCCCCCTCATCCATTCCTTCTCCCTCCCACTCATCCATTCACTCCCTCATCCATTCCTTCTCCCTCCCACTCATCCATTCACTCCCTCATCCATTCCTTCTCCCTCCCACTCATCCATTCACTCCCTCATCCATGCCTTCTCCCTCCCACTCATCCATTCACTTCCTCATTCATTCATTCTCCCTCCCACTCATCCATTCACTCCTTCCTTCATTCCTTCGTCATTCCTTCATCCATTCACTCCTGCATTCATTCATTCTCCCTCCCACTCATCCATTCACTCCTTACTTCATTCCTTCGTCATTCATTCATCCATTCACTCCTTCATTCATTCCTTCGTCATTCATTCATCCATTCGCTCCTTCATTCATTCCTTCATCATTCATTCATTCATCCATTCACTCCCTCATTCATTCCTTCTCCCTCCCACTCATCCATTCACTCCTTCCTTCATTCCTTCGTCATTCGTTCATCCATTCACTCCTGCATTCATTCATTCTCCCTCCCACTCATCCATTCACTCCTTACTTCATTCCTTCGTCATTCATTCATCCATTCACTCCTTCATTCATTCCTTCGTCATTCATTCATCCATTCGCTCCTTCATTCATTCCTTCATCATTCATTCATCCATTCGCTCCTTCATTCATTCCTTCGTCATTCATTCATCCATTCGCTCCTTCATTCATTCCTTCGCCCACTACGTTTGGGGACATTGGGGGGGCAGCAGCGGCGAAGACCCAGGTGGTCCCTGCCCTCAGAGACGCCCTCTGGTGCAGCGCCAGCACCTCCCAGTCCAACTTCCTGCCTGATGGAAAGGGTCGGTGAGGCTGTGCTGCCTGCAGGGAAGTCCCGGCCACAGTTAGCCATCGAGCCCTTGAGCATGGCCAGTAGGGCCGAGGAACTGGATTTTAAATTGCATTTCTTTTCTTTTTTTTTAATATATTTTATTGATTTTTTAAAGAGAGGAAGGGAGAGGGAGAGAGAGTTAGAAACATCAATGGGAGAGAAACATTGATCAGCTGCCTCCTGCACATGCCCCACTGGGGATGTGCCCGCAACCCAGGTACATGCCCTTGACCGGAATGGAACCCGGGACCCTTCAGTCTGCAGGCCGACGCTCTATCCACTGAGCCACACCGGTTTCGGCACTGCTTGCAATTTAAATGGCCCCTGCTGGCTGCCGGCCACCTTGCAGAAGTGACCGCTGGCACTACCTCGCAGTTGCAGAGGGAGAAGCCGACAGTAGGCACACACATCCAGATATGATACCAGGTCATGGGGCTGGGCGCTAGGGAGAGGAGGGTTCAAGGTGACGGGAGGCGCTGTGTTAGAAACGGTGCATGGAAAGTGTTGACTGGGGTGGTCTCTGAGGTCCACTCTCGTGGAACACCCCCTTCTGTGATCCATCCCCCCAGTGCCCCTGGTCTGTGCGTCTGAGCTGACACCCACACCCACATTTTTTTAAAATATTTTATTGATTTTTTTTACAGAGAGGGAGGGAGAGGGAGAGAGAGAAACATCGATGAGAGAGCAACATTGATCAGCTGCCTCCTGCACCCCTCCCCCCCGGGTATGTGCCCACAACCAAGGTACATGCCCTTGAGCCTAACCCCGAAATCATATTCAGCATCTTAAACAGTATTGGAAGGCAATACATTGTATGAAAAGCCAAGGAAGCGCACCACTGAATTACCTCACAGCACCACTATAATTTTTTTCAACCGCCATCCGTTTTTACGCTGTTACTTTATGATTTAATTTACGTCAGCAGAAGTTTCAATCTGGTGTTGGCTGATATGATGTAAAAAGAGGCTACATGAAGCCCTATCCGGTTTTGCTCAGTGGATAGAGTAGGGGTGTCGAACTCAATCAGAGAAGGGGCCAAAATCTAAAATCCAGCCTAAATCGCGGGCCGAATGGTTTACTGAACAGTCATAAACTGTCATTGTGATATGCCCGCAACCAAGGTACATGTCCTTGACCAGAATCGAACCCGGGACCCTTCAGTCCCCAAGCTGACACTCTATCCATTGAGCCAAACCGGTCTCGGCAGAAGAAGTTTACGTTTAAACAATGTGGCTCTCAAAAGAAATTTCAATCATTGCACTGTTGATATTTGGCTCTGTTGACTAATGAGTTTGCCCACCACTGCCCTAGCCAGTTTGGCTCAGTGGATAGAGCGTCGGGCTGCAGAACCAAGTGTCCCAGGTTCGATTCTAGTCAAGGGCACATGCCCAGGTTGTGGGCTTGGTCCCTGGTGGGGGGCGGGCAAGTGGGAGGCAGCTGATCAATGATTCTCTCTCATCGTTGATGTTTCTAGCTCTCTCTCTCTCCCTCTTCCTTCCTCTCTGAAATCAATATATATATATATATATATATATATATATATATATATATATATATATATTTTTTTTTTTTTTTTTTTTTTTTTTTTTAAAGGGCAAAGCCAGGATTCAAACACTGTACCCTGACCTCCACTCCAGAGACGAAGGCCCTGGAGGTCACTCACACCCATGCACTGGTGCACGCACACGGCCAGGTGTCTGAAATGCATCAAATCCTTCAGGGGCTTACCTCTTAGGCAGGGCAAACGGGCAGTAAGCAAACCAGCCAACATAGAGGTGACGTGCTTCAGGGCGGTACGTGCCATGGCCAGAAGGGGTGAGAGAGAGCCAGAGAGAAGACCATATGGGGACGTGGTCTTTACTATATAATCCTATCTAATAAAGAGGGACTATGCTAATTGACCATCACACCCTCACAAAGATGGCAGTACCCACACCCAATAAGGAGGAAATATGCTAATTAACTGCCACTGCCTCAAAGATGGCAGCGCCCAGTCCCCTCAGCCCTACTGGGGTGGCAGGTGCGCTCACAGGCAGGTTTGGCTGCTCCACACACCTGCCTCCAGAGTCCCCCAGCTCCCTCAGCCCCCAGCCACCCAGGGCCACCCACGGCTGAGGTAACCAGGGCAGGCTGAGGCTTGTGCTGCCGGCAGTGGCAGCAGCAGAGGTGTGACGGGGGTGTCACCTTCCCCTGGTCGCTGAGTCACCTCCTGCCCCTGAGGGCTCCCAAACTGTGAGAGGGGGCAGGCCAGGCTGAGGGACCCCCTCCCCGTCCTCCAGTGCATGAATGTTCATACACCAGGCCTCTAGTTACTCTATAACCACAGTGATAATGAACACTTTGAAAGCACTTGCTTTTTGAGTGAGTATTGCTGAATAATAGCAATATTTGTGCCAGGCAGCATTCTAAATGCTTTCGTTGATTTCAGCCTTCCAGCCACAGAGGTACCCGCGGCATCATCATCATCTCACAAATGAGATGGAGGTCAGGGCAGTTGCCGGGAGCCGCACAGCCCGGAGGTTAGGCTTCTGCGGGATCTGACTCCCCGTGCTGGAGGGAATGAGTGTTCTGTTCCCAGAAAGGGAAATGGGGGGTGGGGGAGGTTACGGGGGAAGCCGAGGCACAGGCCCAATGACAAGGCTGGAAAGTGGTGAGGCCCAGACTCAAACCCCAGCAGTCTGGCTCCGTGGTCTCTGCGCATTAGCACCCCAGTGGCTCTCACGCTTGAGCCGGGCTTGTCTCCGGAGGTTGCTAGGTCCATCCCCCAAGTTCCTGACTTAGCAGGAGGGGGCGGGCTTGAGAATACGCACTTCTGCCAGGATCCTGGCAGGTGATGTGGGCGCTGCTGGTCCCGGGCCACACCCTGAGAGCCGCTGCCTTGGGCTGCCTCTCAGCGCAGGAAGGGATCGCTAGCTTGCTTCCGCTCTCCATTCCAATAATTACAGGCTGTTGTTGTTCCTTGCGAGTAAGGAAACGGAAACTCGGAGAGGGTGTGTAGTGCGAAAATCACGCAGCTGTTAGATGGTGGTGCCAGGATGGCAAACCCAGGCGATTGGCCTCCAGGGCCCACATTTTTAACCATCACCCTGCACTGCCTCCTGCCGGTCAACATAATAACTGCATGCCCACTTGAACGAATGGATTTCCAAACACCCCCACCCCCCAGCCGGGGAAACTGCAGTGGGGGGAGCTGGGCGCAGCAACCCCCTCCCTGCCCTGACCTCCTCCCCCCGCTCCCGCCCCGCCCTCAGGTGAAGCTGGTGTTCATGGAGAACCAGGCGGTGGTGGAGACCGTGTTCTTCCTGACGTCGCGCACCCGCGCGCTGCTGCGGCGCTTCCCGCGCCTGCTCCTGGTGGACCGGCTGCCGGGCCTGCAGGGCGCGCTGGACCTGCTGGCCGTGCTGTGCGTGGACGGCGCGGGCCGCGCGCGCCAGGCCGCCTGCTGCGTGGCGCGGCCGGGCACGCCGAGCCTGCTGCGCTTCGCGCTGGCCTCGCTGCTGCAGAGCGCGCCCGAGGTGAAGGGCCGCGTGCGCTGCCTGACGGCGGGCCCCGAGGTGGCGGCGCAGCTGCCCGCCGTGCGCCAGCTGCTGCCCGGCGCCCGCGTGCAGATCTGCCGCGCGCAGGGCCTGGAGGCGCTGTTCAGCCGCGCGCAGGAGCTGGGCGGCGCGGGCCGCGAGGACCCGGGGCTGTGGCCGCGCCTGTGCCGCCTGGTGGGCGCCCCGTCGCCCGCCGCCTACGCCGAGGCGCTGGCCGAGCTGCGCGCCCACGGCCCCGCCGCCTTCGTGGACTACTTCGAGCGCCACTGGGCGTCCCGGCGCGACATGTGGGTGCGCTTCCGCGCCTTCGAGGCGGCCCGCGCGCTGGACGCGTGCGCCCTGGTGCGGGGCCACCGCCGCCGCCTGCTGCGCCGCCTCAGCCCGTCCCGCAGCCTGGCGCAGTGCCTGCGCGACCTGGTGGCCATGCAGTGGGCCGAGGCCGCCGGGGAGGCGGCGCTGGACGGCGGCGGGGGGCCGTGGCTGGAGGGCGAGCGGGGCAGGGGGGCCCCGGTGGAGGATGAGAGAGAGAAGGGCCAGGGCCAGGAGAACGGGGACTGGGGAGGCGCCCCGTTAGAGGAGTGGGCCCGGGAGCTGGAGGCCGGAGACGGGCCTGGGGCGCAGTCGGAACACGAGAAGGAGAGGGGGGTGCAGATCCGGTACTGGAGAGGGGTGCAGCTGGAGAACCAGAAGGTGAGGGGGCTCGAGGGGAGCGTGTGGAGAAGGTCCCAGCTGGAGAGCGAGCACCGGGGCTGGAGGGGGGCCCAGCTGGAGGGGGAGGGGGACTGGGGGCTGGAAGGTTACGCCTGGAGGGGGGCCGCCGTGGAGGACCAGGGCCTGAGGGGGCTGGAAGGGCACCCCTGGAGGGTGGCGCAGGTGGAGGACCACAGGGTTAGGCCTCTGCAGGCCGCGGACGGGAGGGCCTCGCTGGACTGGGCCAGGGCCAGGGGCCTGGAGGGAGGCGGCTGCAGGGGCGGGCAGGGGCCGGATGCAAAAGCCTCTGGGCTGAAGCCCGGGGACCAGAGGGGGCTCCCGGGGGAAGCGGAGAAGGGAGGGCGGACGGAGGTCGGGAACTGGAGGGGGGTCCATTCGGAGAAGCCCCCGGAGCCGGTCCCTGAGGACAGAGACCAAAGGGCGCCCCTTTGGGGACCGGAGAGGAGAGGGCCGGAAATCAGAGGAGAGAGGGGAGCGTGGTCGGGGGGCAAGAGGAGAAGGGACCAGGAGGACGTAGTTCTGGTCCAGCTGGGGGACACGCGGCCGACAGGCCTGGAGAACGGAGGGGGCCCCAAGAACCCAGGAGGGCCGGGCAGGGAGTGTGTGGATGCCGGAGGGGGGTGTCCGGGGCTGGGGAACGGGGTCGTGTGCGGCACCCCCACGGGGACCGTGGTGGAGAGTGACCCTGAACGGGCAGGGGACAGACTTCAGGACGGATGCGAAGGAGAAGGCCCGGGAGAACCAGAGAGACCTCGCTGCCCGTCCGGAGAGCGGGAGGCGGACCGGGAGCCGCTGGCCAAGTTCCGAGCGGCCTGCGGGCCGGAGCTGGCGGACCTGGTGGCCGAGGAGCTGTCCTTCGCCAGGCAGCACGGGGCCCGGGGCTTCCACACGACCGCGGCGGGCTTCGCCCTCAAGGACGGCGCCTCGGACTTCTTCCTGGACGCCGCCCTGACCCGCTGCAGCTGCTCCATCCACGCCGCCCGGCGCCTGCCCTGCCGCCACCTCTTCGCCGCGCGCCTCCTCACCGGGGCCGCCTTGTTCCACGCGGACCTGCTCAGGGGCTGCTGGGGGAGGGCCCCGGAGTCCTGACCCTCAGCCCCCGCCCGCCGCCCTCCCCGCGAGGGCCGGGGGGCATTCTCTGATCCCAAAGATAACAAGGCCGGCCCGAGGAGGCCGCCCCGCCCCGCCGACCACCTCCTGGGTCCGCCAGGGACCTCCCCTTGGCGGGTTGCCTCTCTGGGTCGGAGGGGAAGTGGTCAGGGGTCTCCAGGGTCCTGGAGCCACAGGCGTGGAAGGTGGCGGCCAGCGTGGATGCTGAGGGCTTCCTCAGACGGTGAGGCATCGACAGGGTCAGGCCGGGGCAGAAGGAAGGAAGGACCACAGAGGAGGGGACACCTGGCTCTGGGGCCACGTCCGCGGAGCGCAGGGGGAGGAGGGGCAACGCAAGGAAGGAGGACCGATGGAGGAGAGGTCAGGGGAGAAGAGACAAGAAGATGTGCTGCTTGTTCTTGTGAGTTCCACTTGGTTTGGCAGCACTGGCTGCCCCTCCCACAGCCCACTAGCTACCCAGATAGGATCTAGGGAGCAGCCACAAGGTCAAGCTCAGTGATGCGTAGAGGACTGTGCCCTCCAAGCTGGGACTTGTTTGCGGCTTTGCCAGCAGGTCAGTCCGAGGCTTAACCCTATAACCGCTCCCTACAAAGACAGAAATGGGGGAGAGCGTGCAAGAGGAGGCGGGATGGAGAGGAAACAGGAAGAAGCAGAGGGAGGCAGGAGGAGGGCCCGGGAGAAGGTGGAGAGGGAAGAACATACATACGGGGACCCAACAAAGGAAAAGGGGGGGAGAGGGGGAGAGAAGACAGGAAGGAGTGATTTGGGTTCTCTCCCCAAGGACTGGAGGCTTGGGTCCCGTCCCCTGCTGGCCGGTCATTCCCAGAAGTCAGAGCAGGAGGGAGCCCGGAGAGGGTTGGGGGATGGTCGGGGGCCTCCCGTGGCAGAGGGGAGCAGTCGGGCTGTTGTGCTTTAAGATCGGAATAAAACAGCACTATTTTGGTTTCCATGCTGAGTTCTTGGCTTCTGGGGGCGGGCCGGGGGCCCAGGCCCGGAGGGAAATCCAGATGGTCCAGCATTTCTCCATTCTTTCCGCGGGCTGCTGGGGGCTGCTGGGGGCCGGTGAAAGGAAGGGGACACAAGGAATGTCCCATCTCCCCGGCAGCTTAGGCTTCCTGTGCCCCTACCTGCTGCACATGCTCAGCTCAGTCCCTTCGGGCCTCCCCTCAATGTCACCTCCTAAGGGCCACCCCTGAACAGTTCACCTAAGGAGTCACCCCAAAAAATAAGTTAAAGCCACTCCGTTCTTTCTCAATGTTTCATATATATACTAGAGGCTCCACACACGAAATTTGTGCACAGGGCGAGTCCCCTCAACCCAGCCTGCTCCCTCTTCAATCGGGGATCCCTCTCACAATCCTGGACTGCTGGCTCCTAATTGCTCACCCGCCTGCCAGCCTGGTTGCCCCTAACTGCCCTCCCTCCTCACCAGCCTGGTCACCCCCAACTGACCCCCACCAGCCTGGTCACCTCTTGCTGCCCCCCCCCCCCCTGCTGGCCTGGTCACCCCCAACTACCACTACCCACCCCTGCCAGCCTGGTCACCCCATGCACCCTGCTGTTCAGTCATCTGGTCGTCCCTCACTAACCCCCCTGCTGACCTAGTCCCCCCACACCTCCTACTTTTTCAGTCATTTGCTCAGCCCTTGGGCCAGCCCTGGGCAGCTGGGCAGCCGACATCCGACATCCAAGGCTTGCCTGTGCCTTGAGCCAACCCTGGCCGGCTGGGGGACTGAGGGGACTGGGGTTCTCTTGAGATAGGAGCAACAGAGCAGCCAGACCCACCCTCTTTTGTGAGGGTGTGATGGTCCATTAGCATATTCCCTTTTTATTAGATAGGATATACTAGACATACACATTCATACTAGAGGCCTGATGCATGAAATTTGTGCAAGTGTAGACCTTCCTCCAGCTGCTGGCTCCAGCTTCCCTCTGGGACCTGGGCCCCAGGCTTCCCTCACAGCCCCAGCTTCGCCCAGAAGTTTGTCCAGAAGGATGTCTGGTCTAATCAGCACATTATGTTTTTATTATTATAGATACGTTTTTATTTATTTCAGAAAGTGAGAGAGATAGAAACATCAATGATGAGAGAGAATTATTGATCGGCTGCCTCCTGCATGCCCACCACTAGGGATTGAGTCCACAACCCAGGCATGTGTCCTGACCAGGAGTTGAACTGTGACCTGGTTCATGGATCAACACAACCACTGAGCAACACAAGCCAGTCTCAACATTATTCTTTACAACCTTAGCACTTTCTGAGAGCATACCATGTAGCTATTGACCAGTGTAGCAGTGCCTAAGCATACAGAGGATAAAGCCAGACTCTCTCAGTCCAATCCCAGCTCTGGTACTTACTTGCTATGTGACACGTGGTTTCTTATTCTGTCTTCGTTACAGTTTGGGGATAATAATAGTGCGAATCCAAGGATAGATGAGTGAGTGTGTGTACCAGTGTTCTAACACTCCCCTTCCCCAAAGGGCTCTCAATTGCCTATTAACATGCCCTGTTTTCCAGTGATCTGTGTCCCCCATTTTTTTTTTTAAGTTTGTCCTTATTTTTTTTATTTTTTTAAAATATATTTTATTGATTTTTTTACAGAGAGGAATTGAGAGGGATCGAGAGTTAGAAATGTTGATGAGAGAGAAACATCGATCAGCTGCCTTTTGCACACCCCCCACCGGAGATGTACCTGCAACCAAGGTACGTGCCCTTGACCGGAATCGAACCCGGGACCTTTCGGTCCGCAGTCCTACGCTCTATCCACTGAGCCAAACCGGTTTCGGCTGTGTCCCCCATTTTTAAAAATATATATTTTATTCATTTTTTTTTTCTATAGAGAGGAAGGAATAGGGATAGAGAGCTAGAAACATCGATGAGAGAGAAACATGGACCAGCTGCCTCCTGCACACCCCTTACTAGGGATGTGCCTGCAACCAAGGTACATGCCCTTGACCGGAATTGAACCTGGGACCTTTCAGTCCACAAGCCAACACTCTATCCACTGAGCCAAACCGGTTTCGGCTGTGTCCCCCATTTTTAAAAATATATATATATTTTATTCATTTTTTTTTCTATAGAGAGGAAGGAATAGGGATAGAGAGCTAGAAACATCGATGAGAGAAAAACATGGACCAGCTGCCTCCTGCACACCCCCTACTAGGGATGTGCCTGCAACCAAGGTACATGCCCTTGACCGGAATTGAACCTGGGACCTTTCAGTCCGCAAGCCAACACTCTATCCACTGAGCCAAACCGGTTTCGGCTGTCCCCCATTTTTAATAGTTTGACCCCACCAAAATATAAGCTCTATTTTGTTTTTCCAGCATTTCCGCAGTAAGCACTGGGTTAGAAAGATGAAAGAATATAAATGGCAGGCTGGCTAGTAGAGCTAGCGCTTCGTCGTGCTCCGTATTGCTATAGTGACAAAGGAGCAAGATTCCTTTTCAATAACCCTACCCGGCTCTCCCCTTGGCGACCTGTACCTGAAAACTACAACTCCCAGCAGGCTAAGCGCCGCCAGCACCTTTCAAGTTGTGCGCCTGCGCAGTACAACCAAATGGCCCTTGACAGCTCTGGGGTCCTTAGTGGGGACGCTAAGGATGGGGACAGAGAATGTCAATCCTTTGCTCGCTGAGCATTGCAGGCCCCGCGTCTCTCCCGGTGGGAGGGGTCTGGGTTCCAGGGCCACATGAGGGGAGCAGAGGGGACCGCTCTGGTCTCCATGGTGACGGGCCGGGCTCGGAACCAAAGAGGATTAATGCAGAAGGATGGAGGGGGAAGCCAAAGGTGGACGTTGCCATGGTAACCTTAGAGCCAAAGGAGGCTGGGTGAGAGCAAAGGGATTAGTGATTACAGGATAATCAGAGTGACCGGAATCAAAAGCGCTCTTGGAGAATGTGAGGAAGGAATCAGCTCGAGATGAGGGGAGCCGGGGTGATTCTAGGGGAACTGGCGTTTTGAAGGAACTGGAGTGTCCTAGTGAATTCGTATGTAATAAGGGGCTTTAGGATGAGCATTGGAAAAATCAGCATGCTAATAGAAAACGGGTGATTTGGGGGAAATGGAAATGCAGTGGGGAAAAATAGATGTTAAACTCGTTCGTCTCTCAGAAATTGTAGAGCCGGAACCTGTGTAGCTCAGTGGATAGAACGTCGGCCTGCAGACTGAAAGGTCCGAGGTTCAATTCCGGTCAAGGGCATGTACCTTGGTAGCGGACACATCCCCACTAGAAGCAGCTGGTCAATGTTTCTCTCTCATTGATGTTTCTAACTCTCTATCCCTCTCTCTTCCTCTCTGTAAAAAAAATCAATAAAATATATTTTAAAAAAGAAATATATGCCTGTAGAGCTCCTGTTAGGTACCAGGCACAGCTGGACTTCGGAAATGCAGTGGTGAGCAGGCAGGTGTGATACAGGGGAGTCAGGGTGTTCTAGGGAAAGGGGGGTATTCTAGGGAAAGGAACTAGGGTGACATGGGGAAGTTGGAGGTTTTACAAGGAATTGGTGAATTATGTAAATTAATTCTGGTACTATTTTATTATCTTTTAAGTTTTTTTAAAAAAATATTTAATCCTCATCTGAGAATATTTTTCCGTCTTTTTTTTAAGAGAGAGAGAGAGAGAGAGAGAGAGAGAGAGAGAGAGAGAGAGAGAGAGAAACATCGATGTGAGAGAGACATTGATCTGTTGCCTCCTGCACGTTCCTGACCTGGGGCTGGGGATCAAGCCTGCAACTGAGATGCCTGCCCTTGACCGGAACTGAACCCAGAACCCGCCAGTCCAAGGTCTGATGCTCTATCCTCTGAGCCAAACCAGCTAGGGCACTGGTACTGTTTTTAGAAGATCACTGAATACCATCTGGCAAGCCCTGGGGTTACCTAAGTGAGCAAAGTCAGCACTGAGGACGGCATTGCCAGATTTAGGGGGGAAGCAACCAGCGAAGTTTGAATTTCACAACACAGTACTTCAGTTACTTGTTGTTTATCGGAAATTCAAATTCAGTTAGGCATCCTGTGTTTTTTTGCCTAGGATCCTAATTTGGGGGAATTGGGATGTTTGGGGAGAATGGGTTATTACAGGGCTCCTGGAGCATTGGAGGGAGACTGGGTCGAAGGAAGAGGAGCTGGGGATACTCAAGAAAAACAGAAGTGTTTTTGTTTTGAAAAAACTTTATTCTGAAAATTTTCATGCTATACAAATAGTAAAACATCCTTATCCCGTTTGGCTCAATGGATAGAGCTTCGGCCTGTGGACTGAAAGATCCTGGGTTTGATTCCGGTGAAGGGCACACGCCCGGATTGCAGGTTCGATCCCCAGTGTGGGGTGTGCAGGAGGCAGCCGATCCATGCTTCTCTCTCATCACTGATGTTTCCATCTCTCTCTGCCTCTCCCTTCCTCTCTCTGAAATCAATAAAAAATATATTTAAAATAAAAAATAGTAGAACATATGGTATAATGAACTGCTTTGCCATCTGGGCTGTATGTGAACATATTTTTTAAAATACATTTTTACTGACTTCAGAGAGGAAAAAGAGCCTCAGGTGAAGATTTAAAAAAAAATGTTTTATCCAAGGAGAGGATTCATTCCCTGACAGCCCTAGCTAAGGTAACCACCTCCGCCTTCCCACCTCAGCAACTATCCCATCCCTTTGTCATACTTATTTTAGAAACATCTCCCTATCTAAAATTCATCTTGGCCATTGATCGTGTGCCTTTTCATTGTCCATCTTCTACACTAGGGGGCGGCGTTGTTCCGCTCACCAAGGAAATCGCAGCGCCCGGAACTGTGCCCTGCACAGAGGACACAAACACTCCGGGAATGGTGCTGATGGAATGGAGGGAGGCTATTCAGAATAAAGGAGCGGTGATACCGTGTTTCCCCGAAAATAAGACATCCCCTGAAAATAAGACCTAGTGCGTGGAAAGATAAGACATCCCCTGA